GTTTCATTTATATTCAAATAAAAAAATATAAAAAGCTTAATATTTTTCTAAAAAGTATTCTATCTCAAGGTTTATATTTGAAGTTACCTAATTAATGAAATGAATAAATATATAAATATACTTGCAATAAATTTTCTCTTGCCATTAATTTCTTAATAAGTAACAAATAATAAAAATTATATCGATTTTTACTCTATGCTTATAATAATTATAATATGCTGTATGAATGGTAATAAGTCTATAAAGTATATCAAAGCTGATTAATAATCTTAGATGATATAAAGAAATATTATTAAAATACAAAAAAACCATCAATTTTTTTAAGAAAAAACTATGCAATTATATTATAGTCAGAACTATAAATTTTAGAAATAGGCAGTGAATTTCTAACAGTAAAGAGCTTTAAAAAAGCTGTCAACAAGATGCTGAAGCAGCAGGCTTTACTTTCAGTATATTATCATCAAAAGTTCTGTATGCTGAAAAAGGTAGTTATACTCCTTTTGTTACTTTACAATGTATAATGGGTGGTAAATATAAAAATAATCATAGTATTGCTGAAAAAACTCGTAAAAGAAAGAGATTCACAAAATGTCAAAGCTGTTCTGTTATTTTAAAAGCTATTTTGAACAAAAATAATGTTTGAGTTATACACTCTTATAAAGTAAGCATAATTATGAACTTCTTTCTTCATTGCAAATCCACTGTCTCCATCAATATTGAGCTCTTAACATAGAACAAAAAGAGCTGACTCATATTATACTTAAAAGTAATATGTCAATTCAATCGATTACTGATGTGGTACAATTGAAAAAGGGAACTGTATATACTAAAGAATTATGAATGAATGTGATTGAATTAAAAATGGCTTGAATGAAGGTTCAAATCATAATACCACTATAAGGCTTTTAAATATGTTAGAGGAATGCCAGTATATAGTTTAATATTTGTTATTAAAAAATAGACTTATATAAAATTTATTTTTCATATATATTGATGCAGCACATCAAGTTGCTATATATCCAAAAGTTCTAATAATAGATACTACCTATAAAACAAACTTGTACAAGCTTCTTCTTATCAATTCTGTTGTATCAGTAATATTGGAAATGCTAATGCTCTTAAAACATACCAAATTGCGATAGCATGCATTGTAAATGAAAAGAATACATATATAAATAGTTCTAAATACTTTGAAAGAAACAATTTATAATACCTTTTCATGTTCTAAGAAGTGTTTATTTCTGATAGAGATCAAGCTCTACAAAAGATAACAAATAATGTTTTTCTAGTAGCAAAAAAATATTTTGTATTTGGTATATGCTTGTGCAAAACTTAAAAACTATATATAGAAAGCTTTTTGATTCTGATGAAGACTATAATAAATTTTTGGCATCTATTCAAAAAGTTGCTTATTCTGAGGAGATGAATGAAGTTGAAGAGGCATTTAATGAGATAAAATAAGCAGCGGCTAAAAGTAGAAATCCAAACAATATTCAGAATTACTTGAGTATTAGATGCATATTTATATGAAAAACTATCTACATATAGATATTTAATCAACACAACAAGTTGAAGGAAGTTATAGTAGAATAAAAAAAACAATAGAGGCAGCAAGTGGCCTAGAACAAGTTTTTTTACATATTGATTGTGCTTTTTGTCAATATAAACTACAAATAAATAGAGCCTTAGGATTAAATATTGTTTCTGCTAATCTATTTATTCCTAATAATAAGAGGTTTGAACAAATGATTGGAAAAATTTCTAGATAAGCAATTAACTAATTAAAAAAAGAGATATGTGAGGATGAAAATATTAATAAAGATAGTAGTAACTGTAAATATAGCTTGAGATTAAATTTCAAATTATCGTGCTATTATATAATCCCATTTATGGGATCTATCCTAATTTGGATTATGCATCCTTGTTGGTATATAAAATATAATTTAGTGCTGCTATTGTCTTTATTAACATTACCAATTAATATAACTATTAGTAAAGCTTTATACAAACTTAATGACAAATATAAAAACCTAAATAATTGTAATTCAAAAGCCTCATTATGGTATAAAATTAAAAATTTGACTAATAAGGGAAATATAATTTCAAAAATGCTATTACGAATTGAATCTAAAAGAAAATTCCTACTAAACAAGACTTTCTTCTAAGTGAGTACAAAGATAAACTTGCTACAAAAAATTAAAAAATATAAAAAATAAAAAAAGTAAAAAAAATGAAA